ATCTTCCCCTCCTCTTCGTCTAACCCCCTTCTTCTTCGTCTGTGTATGGTTGGGGCTGGCGCAGTCTTCCTGTGTGAAGCGCCAGACCCCTTTCACACCATGGAACGATGATGATGATGTATGTTCAGGGCTGCATTGCAATATTGATTGTTCGGATCATTGGTATCTAAGTCTTCTGCTACGCTATCTTGTACTTTGTATTGAGAGGTCGGTTCTTGTTCTGGTCTGCACCGTTTCAGTATGCAACAGTAGGTCTCCCAACCTCCCTTGAAGTGCGAAATGATCAAAGAGAAAAAAACTTCGACTTCAAGACTGCAAATGATTTATAGAACTGACTAACAGAATCCTAGAACTGCGAAAAAAAATTCCGAAAAGAAATGACAAATACTCGGATTTTCTCAGATGAGAATATTCGCAGTTTGGAAAATAATACCTGCAGGAGGGATTTCCCGTACCGTTTTCAGAAAAACGAAATTCGAAAAATAAGATATTCCGAATTTCTAAGTAACGGGAAATGCAACAAGAAATCGAAAGTTTCCAAAAGAAGAATATTCCGGATTTTTAACAACGAAATTTCGACTTTTCAGAGGAAAAACGAAAATGGGAATTTCAGATGTTGCGCTATTACGATTTTTCACAACAGAATAGCGAGAAAACAAAATCCAAGAAAAGAAAAAAAAAAAAAAAAAGATTTTTGGCAGTAAGGTCAAAATCGTGATTTTGGGGCCAGTGTGCTCTAATCAATCAATAAAGACTAATCAGCTACTTGGTCCCCGCACACGTGTCAGATCAGGTTGCCCTGATTCACATGCGGTGCACCGATACCAACTGTTGCATGCCCGGTTGGGCGATGTACATAGAAACCGAGGATCCGCAATGTGATAAAAAGGACTGAATGGATAATGCAGTGCGAGTAGAATCTCAACAAGCAATGTGCATTCTCATACATACAAAATGGTGCTGAATAGCGCAGGGAAGACTTAGATACAAAGCCTGACCTGACCGGGACTGACCTCATTCACATAGTATCAGATAGCGAAGCAGAATGCTAGAATGCTAATGACTAGCCCAATCAATGTCTGAATGCAGACCAAACATACACCGTATCCATCACCAGGTGTGAAGGAGCCTGGCACTGTACACAGGAAGAAAGCGCCAGGTCCAGACATACGCAGACGAAGAGGAGGGAATCAGAGGAAAGGAGGGAGAGAGATGGGAATGTCGTCAACACCAAGTCTTTGTCACAAGTCCCCAAATAATCCCTCGTTGCAATGTCTGAAGTCCAAAAGTCGAGTCTGGATCCGATGTCACCAAGCTCTTTCTCTCTTCTCTCGTAGTCTGCAGATGCAGTGAAGTCAGATGATGAGAGGGTGAGAGGGAGATGGCGGACTGAGAAGAGGAAGAAGAAGAACTCTCTCTCTCTGTTACGAGCCAGATACTAACCTGTGATGTTGGCGCTGTGCTGCAGGTACCTCGAAGACGAAGCTGGAGCAACGGCGCTGCAGGTAAGTACCTCTGGCCTCCGCCCAATCTCTCTCTCTCTCTAGTGCTATCCTAGCTATGGTGCCCAGCGCTGGAGACTACAGCTACGTACTCCGCCCAGCGCTGAAGACTAAAGGCTAACGCTACTACTACTCTGCAGCGCTCCCTCCAGAGTGCTGCTGCCGAATCCTGAAGACTACTACTGCCTCCTGCCTTCCTGTGAAGTGCATGGGAAGTCCCTATGTACTACCTCGGCCTGCCTCCTGGCTGCCTGAAGGGCGAGCCAGGCCGAGGAGGCTGCTCTTGCCAATGCTGAAGTGTGCCAGGGGCTGGCGCTGCAGCAGTTGCTGAGGCTGGCATGGGAACAGGCTAAGAATAGCCTGTTCCCGAAACCCTGGGTCGGTGCCTGAGTTTCAGGGCTGGTCGTTCTGATGAACGACCGAAAATGGCCCTTCGTTTCAGGCTAAAAAGGCTGTTGCCATTTTTAGTCTGAAACGACACAGGGACTGTAGGCCCCTGTTTTCAGGCTTTCGGGCTGAACAGTCACGGGGCCTGTAGGCCCTGGTTTTCAGGCTTTAAGCCTGAATTTCAGGCTTTCAGCCTGAGGGATGCAGGCCTGGAAAATGGCCCTCGTGTGCAGCCGCAGCATGTAACAGCCTGCTTCGGACCGGTACCGGTCAGCAACGGCCTGTCTGCTGCAATCATGTTGTCGGTCCGGTGGCTTCCGGACTTTCCTGGGACTTGCTGCAATTTTGTGAACTTGGGACTGGACTGGACTCTTCTGGACTTTTGTGTCGGGTACTGAACTGACTGTGCAACGAGTTGACCTTTCCGGATGCTTCCCCGACTTAGACCTACGACGCCTCAAACTGGCCTATCGCATATATCCTACTGGGACGTTAGGACTCGGGACGTCAGAACCTGAGGACTTTTGGACCATTGATGCCGGGCTCTCAAGTGCCTGCAGCGTGAAATCCTTTTCAGATTCATTGCACTCGTTGTATTCAAAATCATCAATATAATGGGTCTTTGTTTTCAATTGATGTGAATTTTACACCAGATGTAGCATAGAGCAGGTTGTATTGTGTCAACCCTGCTTGAAGCTTTGGAGTTTGAGGGTCCAAGTTAAATTGAGTAAACCCTAAGGCCCGGGGGAAAGCGATGAATTAATATCTCCACCTTGCTGAATGGTAAAGGTGGTGGCTGCATCATGTGTGCTTTAGGATTTACTAGGTCACTCAACCGTGCTTCCATTCAGTATATCAGTTCTCACATCCTCGTGGCTTTGCTTCGACAACTCACATGTGCCCTCAAACCGTACAACTGTTGGCTATGCACCACAAAGAGGTGGGATGTCACAGCCATAGGTACGGTCCATACGGACTTCATATGTGAAGCCGGTCCCATTCAAGGCCGTACATTACTGTCCACGTATACCTGGACAGTAAGCCACGGCTGAATTTGTGCTCGATGCCAATAACGAGCCCAAGACTTGAGAATCAACGCCGCACTAGATTCCCTGAGAAGGTACTCACACAAGGACCTAAACCTTCAGTACACAATTCAAGTAAATTCAAGATTCTGGGAACTGGGGAAATAACTCCACAGTGGTACCAACGAGAATTCAGAACGCCGGATTGCCAGAACAGTCAGATTCTACATCATTGATTATTTATATTTCATTCCATGAACAGGATAGCCTGGTGACGGAATTCAAACTTGTAATTCTTCCAAGTCTGGCATCCATTTCTTTTCATTATGCCAATTTTTCGTTTTTACTTCTGAACACAAACATTCTGAAGTTTAAAGGCTGGAAGTTTCAAGCTTAAAAAAAAAGAAAGTAATGGTTCATGCCCCCTTTGCATGGACTGCATTGACCTCCTGAGTGAATGTGTGTAGCATAGAATGAATACCTCAATCACTGACCTTCACCAGGACCCCCATTCTTTTCTTTTCTGAATTGAATGCTGCTACCTTGACAACTTCAGACAGACGTCTGGTCTCAGCAAACCTTGCGCCAACCTGTTACCAGGCCAACGAAAACGAACCAGTGGCAAGAATGCAAATGTGATGAACCCAGCTTCAGAAGCTCACAACAAATTTCTCATGAACTCACAATTCTCAACTCAATGATACAAAGTTACAAACACGTTCAGTGGTTTTATCAAAAGTCAAGGCAAGGGGCCTAACCAGCGCTTCTAGCGAATATAGAAAATTTGACAGCCTAGGAGCTGAGAGGAACTAGCTGGTTGAGGCCCAAGGAGGCAAACTGCAAGTACTGAAGTGATAAGGTAATCAGAACAGAAGCCAAGGGCAAAATCAAAGTAGAGCAGGCTAACTTAGGCAGGGGTGAAGGGTGGTATGTCCTTCCTTCGCAAAGTAATCAATGTCGTCCCTTGGGCCTTCACACCGTAAGGGGGAGGAGCGTGTGTGAGTGCTTATTGTAATCCTTTCTGACTTGCCGGGGGAATTGGAAAAGGACTGATGCTCTCCAGAATGAAAAAGGAGCCGGAACCCTAAGGCTATGTTTTTTTTTTTTTTTTAATTAAGAAAAGACAGTGTGGGGTCGAAGAACAAAAACATGGAAATATCTCAAAAACATAGTCAGTGAATGCGAAGTTCAACTTGCTCCTTCTTCTTCAAGACTTCAACGGATCACTTCTTGCCACCTCAATGTATCTGCTAGCCAGTAACTCCCCACTCCACCACCACCAATCGACACAATATCAGCTGCCAGGTCAACCGCTCTACAGCACTGGCCTGTCCCAAGCTAGAGCAAAAGGTGCAGCAGCTTGAAATGACAATGTCTTTCTCTGGACCATCATGGAGTCTCTTCCCTCAATCACGACCACATTACCTCCCTGACGCTGTGATGACCTTCCCTTTAGTACCTGACCTCACTAACGCTCTATAGCATGCACACCGACAGAATCCAATCTTGGCAAATCAGAGCCGGCTTCCCACCCCTGCTGGGGGTCTTCTTCTTTAAGAGGCTATGTTCGCTGGCCAAACGGTAAGCTTCCTCTTCCTACTTCTTGCCAAACCTTCGAGAACGGTTACCTCCTACTTCCAGTCTCCACCTTAGACCCTCCTCGGTATGGCGCAGAACAAGCTTCCACAGGACCACTTCTGAGTCTTGGATAAAGAATGTCGAGCACAGAACACAGTGCTTAACTTGGACTTCTCAGCCATAGCTGCTGCACAGAAGACCAGTGGTTGGATCTGCTATCCAAGACTCAGAAGTGGTACTGTGGAAGCTTGTTCTGCGCCATACCGAGGATGGCGAGGAGGGTCTAAGGTGGAGACTGGAGGTAGGAGGTAACCGTTCTTGAACCTTTTGCTCTTGAACCTTACAATGTTCTGCGCACTATGTTCTCTGCCATACTAGTTCTGCGCCACACCGTTCTTGAACCTTTCTTGAACCTTTTCCTCAGAAGGTGTCCTGTGGAAGCTTGTTCTGCGCCATACCATTCTTGAACCTTAGACCCTCCTCTGTATGGCACAGAACATAGGGCGGCAGATAACTTACATTGCCACAACCTTTTCCTCTTTTGCCATTTTTGTTTGTTTTTTGTAATTTGAAAACAGGCCGCGGTCTATTCTGGGAAACAACAGTAGGGTTATTATGCACCGGCAAGTGGCCTTCTATTAGGGGAGGAAGGAAGGAAGGGAGCAAAGGAGGGAGGGAGGGGGGGAGAGAGAAGAAGGGAGGAGGGGAGAGAGAAGAAGGGAGGGGGAGAGAGAAGAAGGGAGGGAGAAAGTGAGGGACCGAGGGAGAGGGGAAGGAGGGAGAGAAGGAAGGGGAGGGAAAGAGAGAGCGACAAAGGAGGGACGGAGGGAGGAAAGGAAGGAGGGACTGAAGGGAAGGAACATGTGAATGAAGACAACGGAGAGATGAGGGAAGGAGAGGGAGCAGAGGGGAAGGAAGGAGGGAGCAAAGGAAGGGAGGAAGGAGGGAGCAAAGGAAGGGAGGAAGGAAGGAAGCAGAGACAGGAGGAAGAAGGAAGGAAGGAGGAGGGAAGAAAAGAGATGTGAAGGGAGGAGGGAGGGAAACGAAGGAGGGAGGGGAGAAAGGAAAGGGAGGGAGGAAAGGAGGGAGGAAGGGAGGGAGGAAGGTGGGAAGGAAGGAGAGGTGGAATGAGGAGGAGGGAAAGAAAGAGGTGAGGAAGGACGGGAGGAAGGAGGTGAGGAAAAGGGAAAAGAAGGAAGGGAGCAAATGCATGTCAGAAATATTATCCAAACTTGCCTTTACTGCCCATGCAAGAACTGCCGACTCGGTTGGGGTTCCAGTAATCTCAGGTTCTGCTCCTTCCTGCAATTACCAGGACAAAAGTAGCACCACAATCAATACACGGTGAACAAGTGAGTCTCAAGGCAAGCCCCTCACAAAGAACTTCAAAAGGAAGCATCCCGTAGCCAGCAAACAGCCCATGCCGAAAGCGAGAGTGAATGACCAAGGTACTGAACCCACTCCTTGTACTCTGAAGAAAATTGGAGGGAGGTGGTCAAGTTCTGTCACCAAACATCAGCGATGAGGAATGCCAAACTACAGAACTTGGTCAACCATGACGATGAGGTGCATTCAGAGTATTGATAGACGGCAACGCTGGCTGAATGCTACACACATTTATCAGGAGGGAAGGGGGGAGGGGGGGAGGGGGAGGCGGGGGCGCGCTAATTACCTTTCTAGATGTTTGCCACACTCCCTGGTGATCTAGCCACCAGGTGGTGGTCTCTCTTGTCACATACATAGAAGACTAGGTATGGCGCAAGACCGAGGAATCACCAAGGTGAGGAGAAACAGCAATGCAAATGAGCGGAAGATTGAAAGACAGCAATCTGACTCATGACACTCGTGACTCAACACACACATATGTCATCACACATGTCGAGATGCAAGAATGGGACATGCATAGTGCTAACTCACACATGGGGAGAAGAACCACAGATGATGGTGTTTCCCTTCTCTGATCTTGTGTTTGTCATCACGGTGGTGCCCCTCTGAACGTCGACGACAGGACAAACCTCAGATCCTTCCCCTCCTCCTTCCTCTCCTCCCAACTACTACTCTCCCCCCTCAGTTTCCCACCCTTTCCTCCTTGTCATGCAGATGCCTTCTCTTCATTTTTACTACACAGGAGTCCACAAACACGCACAATGCCTGCCCCTCTTCCTCCTCCTCCTCCCATATCACAACTATGCCTCCTCCTCCTCTCTCTCTCTCTCTCTCTCTCTCTCTCTCTCTCTCTCTCTCTCTCTCTCTCTCTCTCTCTCTCTCTCTCTCTCTCTCTCCCCCCCCCTCTAATCATCAGAGAATGATACAGAGAAGAGTAGCAGGACCCTGCCAAATCAGATGCATGAATCGAGACATGGTCCAAATTTCAAAATAGAGAAGGGAAAGAAAAAAAATAAATTGTTGTTCGCTTTTGTTGACTGGACAAATCCAGTTGACCTGTCCGCTGAATGTCCACAGATTGTCTGGACAGTCCACATCTCTGAGTACAGTGTAAAACTTTGAAGTTCAAATAAAACGACCAGAAAGTCTTTTACACCAAGAGGGCACAACTACTACTTACATCTGGAACATGTACGGCGCCATTTGTGTTCTGGCATAGTCCTTCGTATAGCACCTGAAAAAAACACGAAAGTCGGTTGAATAAACCTTGCCTCGTTAGTGTCTGAAATGCACTCCCTATTCCAACCCTACGTCAACCCCCATGGGGCCACTACCTCTAGCTTGCTGAGATTTTTTTGCATCTTGCTGTAGAATTATTTGTCACAAGAGTATGATGCCACCAAGAGCTGCCATAGCTAGCGTTTGCTCTCCTTTTCGTGGAAAGCAAGGGATACTGATCGCAGTTCTATGTAAAAACCTGGCCTCTCTTTCTGCACTTCTTTTTAACTCATTGTGTAACTGGTCTTTTCTTCAACTAGGTGGAATCATGACGCAAATAGCAGCAAGCAGGGCCTCTCAGAACCTGTGGATTACGCTTCCATCTACAAGCCTGGCCTCTCTTGCTGCAGGTTTTCTGTTTCCTCAATATGCACCCAGTTCTCTAAGACTTGCAGTATTGGGGCTGTCCCTCATCGTCTCGAGTCTAGGCTCCGGGGTTATTGGGGTATTTGGACTTTGTGCCTTTATGGTCATTGTTTCGCCTTTGGGTTGGTGTCCCTTTCTTTTTCAGGTCTCAGGTACTTCACCTTGACCTTGTCCCTTCGGTTTCCTTCAGGGAGTTCCCTATGAGCCTGGAGGAATTGGAGAAAAAGAATTGTCCCTGATGAATGCTGGGGCAGGAACTACTACATGTCGTCAAGGCACCAAGCAGATCCCCATGAGGAGGCTAGAGCTGGCCCCGGCTGAGACGTCATAGGGGAAAGCCAACCAGGGGTAAGGAAGATAACTGGGGGGGGTGGCAGGGAATCGACAAAGATGGTGACAATGGCCGCTGGGAGGGCAGAAGTGTACAACGATGTGCTTTTATATGAGACACTTATCCCTTTAACATTTGGGCATCGGTATACTTTGAACTGCTCTTGGCTCTCATGTGGGTGTGCTGAGCAATTGTAGCATGCTTATGTTCAGTATGGGATGTGAACAATTGGTTCCTGATTTATGTTTTCTGGAAGCCAACACCACAACACTGCTTGAAGTAGGGTGGTTCATGCTTAGGCTTGGTAGTACAAAATAACATCAGCTGGAGCCTTCTACAGCATGTGCAGTTCGCAATGGAAATGAACTATGCTGGCTGGAATATTCAGACTGTTAATTTCAGAGTGATAGGACCTAGCACTATTGCATCAGAGGCATGAGTATATTTTTGTACCTCAAAAAAAGTATTCACAGATGGATGATCATATGTCCTTGCCGAAAAAAAGGTCACAGCATCGTGGCAGAGAACAGTGCACCTACAAGATATCTCTGGCTTATGATGCGAACAATGGCCCTGCTCCTCAGGTGGCGCAGATTCTCCGTGCAAACACTTTGCACAGGATGTGGAAGTGGGGGCAAACGGTCATTGGGTAGAGCATTAGCCACTAATGAAACGGTTTTCACCTTTCTGCAGGCACAGATGCGGGCCCTAGAGTTCGATCCCCCGACCTCACTTTGCCCATGTACAGTATCGAGTCGACACCCGAGTGTTTGAACCCGTGACCTGTGTTTTGGTAGTTGTCTGTTGTCTGTCGTAGGTCTGTGTAGTGGTAGGGGTTCGATCTGTAGGTCTGTCAATTAGGAGTCACAGCTTTGTAGAGGTCGTAGCTGTAGGTATTCTGAAAGGTCAAGGTTGTAGCTGCTACAGTCCTGAAAGGTCAAGGTCGTAGCTGCTACAGTATCCGAAAGGCCAAGTCCACAGACTTCCGGAAGGTCCGGAAGTGGCCTTTCGAAGTGTCTCATGTTTAGTCAGAGGCAAGTGGGCAAGTGGTGAACCCAACTGCGTTACGTCGGCAGTGCGACTGCATCGAGTTGGCAGTGCAAACTCATGCAGTCAGCGGTACTGGTCCCAGTCAGTCAGAGTCCAGTCAAGCAAGTACCGTGTGGGACTGTGTGCACCAAGGGCCTGGGAAAGGGGCAGACCAACGAGTTACAGAAGTATAAATCAAGAGGCAGCGCCCAGCCATTCATTCATTCGCTATGTAAGCCATGCGGAAGCGCTGCTACAGCGCCTTGTGCGAAGGTGGTCTGCAGGTTGCCCGAGGTAGAAGTGGGCTGAAGGGAGACATAGTAGCCATAGTAGCAGCGGCGAGCTGCCATAGCCGCCGTAGGGTAGAGGTAGCTGATACAGTGTGTGTGTGTGGAGTATTCAGGGTGATCCAGAGTGAGCATGTGCAAGCAGTGGTGTCGGACACGGTGACGAGAGTGGGATGTACAGGTGCGGATGCGCCATAGCCTGTTGAAGTGAATTTGCAACTGAACTGTGTTCTCGTTGTCCATATCTCTGAGCCATAGTTGCGGCGCACGTCGTTGCGCCGTTTTGCGCACGGTTTGCGCACGTCGCGCCGCGCACCGCACAGCGCACCGAAGCGCAGCGCACTTGAAAAATTAGGTCCAAAAAAAAAAAAAAAAAGTAGGGGTTTTCTAATTTCTTAGGGCCCCCAACTCGGCAAAAATGTTAAACTCACCGCGCAAGTTCACAAACCGGCCGCGCCCACGGCCCGAACTTTTCTTTTGGGTAAGGGCTGCTGAAAATTCGATTTGCGCAGGCCCTTCCCCAAAAAGTTTTGAATGGCGAGGCACAAAGTGGGTCAGTTCGCAAGAAGGGGTAGTCGCCTAATAACGACATGCCCCGCGAAGCTTCGCAGAAGTCGCAAATTGCATGTTCTATCGCCAGCCGACCACCAATATATGCTGAAGATTGGCGTTCAGGTCCGCATGTCGGCAGTTATGGGTTAGGATGAAGTTGCCCGTGGCTCTCTCGTTTTTTAGTTTTTGTTTTCTTACGAATACGTCCAGTGGGGCCTGCTCCACTACTCACCAAATGCACAAAAGACATAGCATATGGCGGTGTATGGTTCCATGT